TTCTCTTGATTGTATTAAGGAAGTTTTATATAAAAATATTAAAATTGTTTCTAAGCTGAATTTATTCTTAACTCTTAATTAAGTTTTCGAAGGATAGAAAAGTATTAAAATTATTTATTTCTTACTTTATTTCAATGAATTATTTTTCTGGATACTTCTCAATTAAGTTAACAAATACTAATGTTTTACAATATATTTAAACGTTAGTTCTTAAAATTAAGATTCCTGTTGATTATATTAAAGAAAATATTAACAGCTGCACCACACATTTCCGGTGGGATCCGATGGTTTTGTAGCCTGAGTCTCGCCGTACCTTGAGACGATCTGCAACCACCAGCGATTTTACCATTGATAACTCCTTGCGCAGCGATTGCTTCTCAATTACTTGTCACTGATTGTTCTAATCAAGAAATCTCCTTGCGCTGAGATGGAAAAATCCACAACTGTGACAAGTGAAAAGAAGATTAGTAGTAACTGCATCAATGATGATCTTTCATTTAACATTCTCTCCAAATTGCCCTTAAAATCTTTGAAGCGATTTGGCTGTGTTTGTAAATCATGGGCACCTTTATTTGAAAACCCTCATTTTATGAGTACCTTCCGCTCACATTTCATATCTAATCATCAATCTTTATATAATGATACATCTCTCCTGTTACAAGTTACTGGTAGAGAGTTTCATATATTGTCCGATGATAATGAACTTGAAAACACTGTCAATCTACCCAATCCATTTCAACAGGAGGATCTATTTTTTAACATTTTAGGTTCCGGTAGTATTACCGGAATTCTTTGTCTCCACCGACACCAAGGTGGACCAATTGTATTTTGGAATCCTTCCGTCCAAGAATTTAAAGTCATTCCTCCAAGTCCGGGTGAATCTGTACCACGTTACCAATTGTTTTTGACTGTGATTAATGGATTTGGATATGACCATGTTAGAGATGATTATAAGTTAATTAAGCATCTATTTTACTATTCCCCAAGCAGTCGAGATTGTGAAGATCTTGGCCTACATGATGTGCCATGGAAAGAAGTATTAGATTGTGAATCTTTATGGGAGATATATAGTCTTAGAACTAACTCTTGGAAAAAACTTGAAGGTATATCATATAACTTTAGTGCACACAGTAGTCTTTGCGGCCAGCAGTTGTTTTTGGATGGAAAGTGCCATTGGTGGCATTATGTTTTTCTTTCTGATGCTGAACTAGCTTTGGAATCATTTGACTTGATCAGTGAGGTGTTATGTACTACACTCGTACCATTAGATATACATTTTGTGGCTGGCGCACCACATTTGGTGGAGTTAAGTGGTTCTATTGCTCTGATCTCTTGGACTTATAGTAGTGCACCTACTTTTGATATATCAATTTTAGCTGAAATTGGTGTAAAAGAATCATGGATTAAACTTTTTAATGTTGGACCATTATCCTGCATCGATAAACCTGTAGGGTCAGGTAAGAATGCTGATATATTTTTTATTCAAGAAGATGGTGAAATAGTTTGTTTAAATTTGAGTACCCAAATAATTGAGGAGCTTGATGTTAAAGGAGACCATTATAGACAAGTTGGTCAGGTATTGATGTATAAGGAAAACTTTCTTTCAATTGAAAGGATAAACCATTAGGTTGATTTTTATCCAAGAGATTTATGGTTATGGTTATTATTAAAATTTTACTATCTTTAATTTGTGTTTGTGGTGGTGGAATGGATCTTTTGACTTCAATGTACAAGAACTTCCTATTTGATATTAAAATAATCATTTTTATATTTAAGTGTATTACGTTTTCCTCAAAATATTTATATCTGTTTAACTGTGTGCTTTTAATCTTTAATCCTCCAAATCAATTAATTAGATGTTATGAAGCACTCCTATGTCATTTTAGTATAGAGAAATGATCATATGACACATAATTATACATCTACAACCCATACTTTATACAATGAATATATACTCATCATTTTTTTAATAATTTATATTTCATTTTGGTATTCGTATATACGGTGTAGTGTACATTGCATACATGTGTAGTATCGTGTCTTATAGCACAACTTTTTAGTATATATATATATATATATATATATATATATATATATATATATATATATATATATATATATATATATATATATATATATATATATATATATATATGTACTTGGCATATGTTTTTTCTCTGCAGTTGTCAAATAAGATCAGTAAACATTTTTTGATATGCTTCTTGTTGATGTTTCTCCAATTTTGCTTCGTTATTTTCTTTGTTATTTGGTGAGTTATCTTGCACTGTGTCAAGCTTTATGTGCAAATGTTCAGAACTTGAGTTTGAGTAGTGTTAATTTTGCAAGAAAAAGTTCCAAGATGTAGAAAATAGAGCAAAATTACTATCAGTAATGGTTGCTAATATTTTGCTTCTAGGTTAGTACACAACATCTAGTAGTATACCATTATGAGTTTTTACAACACCCATAGTAGCTTTATGTTCTAAACACCATCATCACCAACTTGAAGTATGATATGGTGATTATCAATGCATTTGATAGTAGAATTCACAGTCAGAGGTATTCAGAAGAACTTTTTTGGAGACCATGATCATCTATTACAATTACTATTAGATGTTATAGCATTAGTAGGAAAGATTGCGACCAATCTCAAGTATTACAGAGTGAATCTATTTTTGGAGATAGCATCAAATTGCATGACAGGAAAGGTTACTTCTTAAGTTGGATGTTGTTAAACAAATAATTTCAAATTAGAATAGAAAACAAGTCTTTTTGTTTAGAAAATTAGGAATGTTTCAGCTAAATGAATTATGCTATTGGCAAATTCAAGTCTTCAAATGGGGCGGGAACATAGAATAATAGAAAATGAGTGCAAGGAAAGCAATTGCAGGGCCTTCGTTAATAACATAGATGAAATTTAAGAACTATAAATATTTGAACGTATCATTTTAACATAGATGTGTTATGGTGCGGTTGCAAAGAGTTTGTTCCATTTTGTTGATGGCTTGAGTTCGAACTGCATTGCTTGCAAAAGAAGTTTTTGTTGAAGACTTTTAGGTTTCATAAATTATTGACACTTTTTGGTGATTCTTTATTGATTATTTTTATCGAGAAGTTGGTAAACATAACTGGTGTGATTAATAATATTAAAAAAACACTCATGAAACTTGTTCATTATGTTGCTCACACAAAGATCAGAAGAAATTGAGTTTGTTTACTTTCACCCTAATTTGTTGCACAAATAATTGGTTGAATGCCTTGCCAAGTGGAACTTTCTACACATAGGATGTGTTGAAAGAAAAGTTCTTGAATTGGTTCTATCCATTTAGCAAGTACATGGATAAAATTGACGATATAAAATTTCAAATGATGTGATGAATCTCTCTATGAAGCATGAGAAATGTTCAAATTGATGTTGAAAAGATGTACATCACATGATTTGGACTATGCGACACAAGGACAATACTTTACACGTTGTTGAAGAAGTAACACTCGAGTGCTCATGGATTCCTTAGATAGAGGAACTATAAGGAAAAAAATCGAAAACGAGGTTGTAAAGGAACTCATATAGAACATGGCCCATAATGAATATTGTGCTCTAATTGATAGAGGTTCCAGAAGGAGAGGAGCATTAACTCATGATACTCAAAGTGAATTTTTAGCCAATAACAAGCAAATGAAAGCTCTTATTGACATCCTGACAAAATAAATTTCATATGTCACTAGAGAACCTTAATTAGTTCAATAGACTCAAACTCTCAAATGTGATCTTGTGGTTCTACATGACATATGGAGGGATATAGGCTCATCTTGGACAAGCAATGAGATATGACAAACCATCCTCAATAAGAAAATAAATACCTCTACTTAAAACATCACTAGTAAGACAAAAGAGATTAGGTGAAAAAGGATCGCCATGTGTGACTCCTTTCTTACAAGAAAAGAATCTCGCAACCTTAGATTGACATATATAAACAGTCTTACATTGACATATAAGAAATGAATCTAATGCCAGAACTTAGGCTCAAAACTAAAATAGTAAAGGATTTCATGAAAAAAATAATCCAGGCTAATGCATCAAAATCCTTATAAATATATCGTTAATTTCAAAGGATTTCTTAAATGATAAAATAATGGATTAAAAAATTAATCAAATGCATTCATAAATTTATCTCATTATCATTACATTTGATGATGATTCTTGAGTTAAGTTATAGAATCACGAGTTAACTTGCATACAGAATTATTTTTTTTCTTCTGAAATCTGATAAACCCGTGCATTTGAGAACGATTAAACAAGTCTACACAATATACTGGTTATTTCCTAATTCTGAATGGCATAAACAGTTAAACTAAAATTTCACCCTACATTATTTCAATATCCCTTTTCAGACAAAAACTTTCAATAGATCAATTAAATAATAATGTTAACAATAATGATTTAGAGAAGGCCAAATGGGTTCTAAACAAAGCTTCCCTGACTACTTTAGTGGTCGAATTTACGTGCAGTCATATATAGAAGTTTTGCATTACATAATTGACTCAACTCGTTTTTTAGTTTTCTTGCAATGAACATTTTTCTGTTGTGTTGTGTGCATTAAGAAAGGGCTCCTTGCATTATAAATAATTCTAATGACTTAGTTGTTTTCAGTAAAGATTAAAGTCTGCGTCTATTTTATGTTCTCACATAAGGTGATAATAACCAAGATCGGCGTTATGCTATATGAATTTGAGCAAAATGGTTTATTGCTTAATAAAGACAAGATGTAAAAAATAGAGGCAGAGTGCATGGAGACCATTTACATATGCAAGGATAGCAGAAAATATTCATTCTGTGCTGTCACTGAACATATATATCATCATCATCATTTGAGAGGTGTAAACAATTAGGAACTGGAAACCATGCATGGTGAAGAATGTCACCCTTACGTGTCCCTCCTCCATCCCTATAAATAACCATACCCAGGTTCTTGGCTTCATCAATCTCGTTAGTAATCACAATGGCCAAACACTTTCTATTTTCCTTCTGCTGGCTGCTCTTCACGACGGCGTGTTTAGCACATCACTCTGAATTAGACAGGTTCAACAAATGCCAGCTTGACAGTATCAATGCATTGGAACCAGATCACCGTGTTGAGTCACAAGCTGGTCTCACTGAAACATGGAACCCCAATCACCCTGAGTTACAATGTGCTGGTGTATCTCTTATCCGACGCACCATTGATCCTAATGGCCTTCACTTGCCTTCCTATTCACCATCTCCACAGCTGATTTTCATCATCCAAGGTTATTATATAATCAAATATTCATTATTTGCATTCACTGAATTGTTTTTTAACTAGTTCATGTTTTTTCTTCTATATAGGGAAGGGAGTACTTGGCCTTGCAGTTCCTGGTTGTCCTGAAACTTACGAAGAACCACGCTCACAATCTAGACAGCAGCAACAACAACGTGACAGCCACCAGAAGATTCGGCGCTTCTCTAAAGGTGATGTCATTGCCATTCCACCTGGAATTCCTTACTGGACCTATAACTATGGTGATGAACCTCTTGTTGCCATTAGTCTTCTCGACACTTCCAACACTCTAAACCAGCTCGATTCAACCCCCAGAGTAAGTAATTGTATAACTATACGTTACATTATCCAAATTTTGATATACTTTTCTAACGTGTAATATTTTCTATTCAATTAATCACATGTAAGTATGTGTTTGCAGGTATTTTACCTTGGCGGAAACCTTCCAGAGGCAGAGTTCCCCGAAACACAGGAACAACATCGACAAAGGCACAGTTCCCCTATTGGACGTAGAGGTGGACAGCAACAACAAGAGGAGGAATCCGAGGAACAAAACAAAGGGAAGAGCGTGTTGAGTGGCTTCAGCGCAGAGTTTTTAGCACATTCACTCGACACCAAGGAGGAAACAGCCAAGAAACTTCAATCTCCACGGGACCAAAGGGGTCAAATCGTAAAAGTAGATTAGGGTCTTCACATTATCGGTTCTGAGTTACAAGAAGAAGAACAACAAAGTTTCAGTCAAGGAGAAGAGGAAGAAGAACGAGAACAAAGACACCACAAAGATAGTGAAAGAGAAGACGAGGATGAGGATGAGAAAGAAGAACAAGAACAAAGACACGGCAAACATAGCAAAAAAGAAGAGGAGGATGAGGATGAACCTCGCAGCCATGAGAGTCGAAAGTGGAAAAAACACACCGAAGAGAAGAAACGAGAATCACACGGACGAGGAGGAGAAAAACAAGAGCAAGAAAAGAAAGAGGAGGAAGAGGAAGAAATACAACGTCAACACAGCAAAGGAGGAAAGAATGGTTTGGAAGAAACTATTTGCAGTTCAAAGATTCGTGAAAACATCGCTCGCCCTTCACGTGCTGATCTCTACAACCCGCGTGTTGGTCGCATCAGCACTGTCAACAGTTTAACCCTCCCAATCCTCCGCAAATTACGCTTCAGTGCAGAATATGTTCTTCTCTACCGGGGTATGCATAGTACTAATTATTTAACCAAGGTATATATTTCCATAATATGATTAATTTTTATATTTCGATGTATGTATGTACATATAGAATGGTATATATGCTCCACACTGGAACAATAACGCAAACAGCCTCTTGTACGTGATTAGAGGACAAGGAAGAGTTAGAATAGTGAACAGTCAAGGAAATCCAGTGTTCGACGACAAGGTGAGAAAGGGACAATTGGTGGTGGTGCCACAAAATTTCGTGGTGGCCCAACAAGCCGGGAATGAAGAAGGACTTGAGTATGTGGTCTTCAAGACAAATGATAGAGCTGCTGTTAGCCATGTGAAACAAGTGTTTAGGGCGTCTCCTGCTGAGGTTCTTGCAAATGCTTTCGGACTTCGAAAGAGTGAGGTTGCTCAAATTAAGTATAATGGAAATCGTGGCCCATTGGTTCAGCCTCAATCTCAACCACAATCTCTGTAAAATTATGCAATGCAATGTTGAGATGGCCATCTTATGTAACAATAATAATAAAATAAATTTTGGATGTGATGTAATCAAGAACTTGAGTTCTAAAAATATTAATAAAGTTATTGCCTTGTGACATTTCTCATCCTGATCTTAATCTAAACTCGCATGCATATATATGTATAACTGCAATAACATTGTTTCAATATCACTTTTCATACAAGCATTTTTCAAGAGATCAATTAAATAATAATGATTCACAACAAGGTCTCGTGGCTTCAAAACAAAACCTCCACTGGTTCCATTGGAGGTCGAATTTCGTAGCAGTTATTACAGAAATTTTTTGCATTACATGATTGACTCAACTCTATTTAGTTTCTCCAAATGACCAAGATATTCTCAAGATTGGAAATGCTTGCTAAAAACCACATAGTCGTGTTTCTCTATTTAAAGACATCTAAATGTGTGCAAACATTGAACCAAACACAGACTACTCATATAAAAAGCAAAACATGAAGTACTGATTTATACAAGCCATCCATCAACTTCAATGACATTTTGGATATTTATCAATCCAAAGTGCATAACAAATAAGTGTTTGCTTAAAAGCACTTACGAAATAAAGTATCAAAACAATCAAGTGCTGCTCCAATAACAAATTTTGTGATCTCTTATATTTATTACAAATATTTCTGCAAGTACTTTGACTGCAATGCTAGGAACATGACTAGACCAGAACAAACCCTTCCATCACGATAACAGCTTTCTCGCGCAAAAACACTGTTTGTTTCTGCTCATCAAGATGAACATCAAGAACTCCCCCTCTAGCTGATGCCTGCACAAATATAATCTACAGATTAGTACAACAATAACAAAGAGAATCCAAATGAGGGAAAAGAAAGATTAGTAGTAGTAGTAGTACCTGATAAGCCTTAAAATCACACTTTCCCAGCTTCTTGCTCTAATAGGGTACCAAGCCACAGTGTGCACTTCCACAAACAGGATCCTAAAAGCAAATATGAGTTATTAACAACATTATCTCAGACTTTGAGTTGTGTTAAAACACTCGAAATCTGAAGCTACTTTACTTAGATTTTATGTATTCATCTCTTCATTCATTGCATAGTTAAAGAGACATTATCAATTCAACTAAAGGAACATTATAATCATAGTTCTTAGTCACTTGCCTCATTGATTCAAATTTAGGACTGAAATATGACTGTAGAAGTCAAATCCTGACTCTGGAGGAGCAATCCCAGTAACAATTACTCCCGTTCCAGGACATTTAATAATCTAATCAAGTTGTGGCTGTACCTCTGTCACATTTTGTCCAGACGCGACAACAACCTAGGACAAGTAATAAGATTAATAATAGAAAAACGGAACATGTTAGTGTTGTTCTTTCCATTAGTACGAACTAATATCAATGGAAGACAGAAGGTTTAGGGTTTACAAAACTCGGTACATTGCCTCTAAGCCTCAATGTACTCTCCTCATCCAGTCCACTATCTAAGACATCGTGCAGCAGTGCGGTTCCTTGTTACGTAATATAGACCATTGCCTAAGACCTCGGGAAGCAATGTGTTTCTTTATTCTGCAGCACAGGTAATCGCCTAAGTCGACATGCAGCGATGTTCGAAAAAACAAAACTCGGTACATTGCTGTGATACGGTGGGAGAACTGACTAGGGTTTTGCGTTTGTTTTCGCAAATATTTCGGTTGAGCAAGAGTCGCCACCGACTTTTTATTTTATCCTAAGGAAAGGTTTAAAAAGCACAGCAAAAACCTTTGAGATTTTTCTTGGGTTCGGGGAGTAGATTATAGAAGGGGAAGATATTAGCACCCCTTCTATCCATGGTTATCCATGGGCTCTTAGGTACTTGCTTAGATCAACTTGCCTTGGTTTTCAATTGTTTGAAATGGTGCTTTGTGTGTGGTTTTGAAAAGGTTTTGAAAAAGATGCCTTGTATAGGCTACCCTTGTAACAATTCTTTACTCGAATGTTTTACAAAAGGTGTTTGTCTTTTTGAAAAGATGTTTCAAGGTTTTTTGAAAGTTGGTTTTGAAAGTGTTTGTGAAGTGGGTTTTGAAATAAGGCAAGTGTTTTCTTGGCAAATTGACAAGTACTTAAGAGTTTATCTACCCTAAAGTTTTCTCAAAGATTCTTGTTATGTTTTAAACCTTTTGACAATTTTGTTCTATCATTGCATTTGGTGGACAATCTTGTCTTAGGAGGTGAAAGGGGCGGGCGCGGGTCATCGTTTAGACCATAGTTGCAATAGTGTTAAATGTCTTCGGGCAATTTTTCTTTTGAAAAGGGACTTGATCATTTTAGGCAACATTTTGAGGGACTGTGATCATTTGATTGTTTTTTGTTTTACCCAAAGAAGTTCAACATGCAATATGGCCCAATCATTTGAAGGCAACAAAGTGGAATACCCTAGGGGTGCAAGTGTGCAATGTGTTGTCCATTTTCATGCTCATTTATCTTGTATTAGGTCCAACTATTTTGTTCATTTTTATACGCATACAAAACCCTAATTCTAGCATAGTATGTTTAGAAAGCGATAAAAGTGCGAAATTTAAATTCCTACGCTATTACATCACAATAATATAGGGAGGGGGTACAATGTTTCAAATGGGGATATTTAGATAAGAAATTAAAACCTAAGACTATTACATCATTTTTGGGGATATTTACAATATGATTAAAAGCATAAATAAAATAGAAATAAAACAAATATGCAAGAATTCAAAAAGAGAATTTTTATATGTATGAAAAAAGTATTGTTCATGTAAAATAAAAGAAAAATAAAAATGTATTATTTTTGAAGTATTTTCAAATTTAGGGCAAAACCCTAATTTTAATCAAAAAGGACATTAATTATTTAATTTACATAATATTTACTATTTACCCACAAAAATAAAATAAAATATAGTATATTTATAAAAATGTATCTTTAGTGTTAAATATTAATAAAAATAAAAATATGTATATTTTTGATATTTTGCCCTAAATGTATTAATGTATATATATATATAGGTATATTTATACTATTTACAAGATATATTAAATATGCAAACAAAAATAATATTTAATTTTATATAAAATAAAAAAAGTATTTTTTATACAAAATGTTTCAAAAGGGAAAAATGAAATAAAAATCAGAAGTACAATATATTTACATTATTAGTAATATTTCTAAATAATATATATATATATATATATATATATATATATATATATATTTATGTATAATAGTATATATAAACAAATAAATACTTAAAAAATGTAAAAATGGTGCAAAAATGATTTTTTCAAGTTTTAAACATTATTAGAAAAAATAAATGAGTCAAAATGAAAAAAAGAAAAATAAAAAAACATTAAATCAAGCAAATGGGCTCAGGGGGTAAGAAAATGGAAATAGGGTGTGAAAAGAAAAGACCACACAGGCCCAGCCCATGTGGCTTCATCTTCAACCTTTGTTTAACAACATTCAAAAACGCGCGCCCTGTACTCCAGCTGCTAACTCCTGATTCCTGGCTTTTTAACAAAAACTCATAACATAAAAAATGTTCAGCATGAAGAGACGATTCTAACCATATGCATAACTTGATCTAACTCTCTAAGATGAGGGATAATTTCTCCTCCCCCAAATCCTAACCTAGTTTTTCTGCCATTTTCAAACTCCAAATTCTCACAGCTCAAGCAAAAGAAATGAAAAGTAAATATATGTACATGTTCAGTGGCATGAGTAGAACCTTGTTTCTTCACAAACTTAAAGCTAATGATGCCTAATAAGAGAGATACGAATTCAAAATTTTACCTATTCAGTTGAACTTCTATCTGGAGATGTAGGAACTTTCAGTGCAAGGTGATGATTGGAGAAGCTTCCTTGAGGTCCAGGGATGCTATTCCAATGTTTACTTTGTCTTGAAAGCTTCTGAATCAAGCTAGAGAACTTCACCTGCAAGTCAGAAATGTGAAAATGGAGGAAGTGGTTAGAGCAATTACAGATCGTGCCTTAGCTTTTGGATAGCTTGCATAGGTTGTAAGGAAGGTAGAGGAACAGGTTTGGGCAAGAATGCTTGAAGGGATTGAGAGATAGCACTCAAACTGCGGGCCTTGCCCTGTTTGTGCAGTTTGAGGGTGATTATGGCAATGGGAGTGTTTGAGAGGTGCAGGGGTCGTGCAAAAGCTTGGTTGGGATCTCTGGAATGTGTTCTCAAAGTTTGCTCAAGTGTTTGGTAGCTGATATGAGAGTTCTGTTTCAAAATGCCAAGTTACTTACACTTTAAGCAACAAATGCCCAAGTTGTGTTCTAGGTCAGTAGAGGCCCCCTAATGTGCTGCATAATCTCTCCTTGATCAGAGTGTTTTGCTCATAATCTTGTGCCAATTAGATCTCATCTGTACTACTTGGATTTTCAATTGGACATAAAGCTACTTTTTACAAAAATAGCCAATTTGCTTTATCTATTTTGGGATTAATCTTGCATGTAATGCTTGCACTCAAAGAACAACACTTTAACACATTGAATATGCATTAAATTATTGAGTATGGAATGGTTTAAGGACCTGTAATGTATCACAAACTAAGCTGACTTGCAAATGGCCTAAGTTATGAACATGTACATGACCAAATCAAAAGTGAGTTTTTGCTATATTGTGAAATTCGATTCTCTCAAGTTATGAGGTTGTTTGATGAGTTCTTGGACATTTTGGAAAGCTTGGAATGTGTACTACAATCCATCTTTGAAATGAAAATTGAAATTCCAAGTGGAAGTGTATGGAAAATGGCCTTGAAGTGGGGTAGAAAACCTTGTCAAAATAGGTTAAAATTTCACTAAGTTAAAAATGGTTTAGTGCCCTTATTCAAAAATTTGTAACTTGAGATACAAGCTTCAAATGAGAAAACTTTGTGAATAAAAGTTGTAGATTATGCAACAAGCTACAACTTTCATGTTTTGACTTTTGTTTGAATCCAAATGAATCTTGGTGAAAAGGTGGGGCAA